TTGAGTGTTCTGATGTTAACTTAGTATCAGAGGTCAGGAGCATGAAAACTTAAGACGGTATTTGTGGGAAAAACGCTTGGATATGATATGGTATAGCTATCGTATGCTAATCAGAAGAATTTTTTCAACTTAAGAAACAGTTTTCTTAGCAGAGCACTATTTCCGGATTCCGAATTTAGAAGGAATAAAGGATCACCTTTGTATGTTCAGTACTGTTTATTTTGGCGGACACTGTATATTTCATTATTTATTCACGTGATATGAAAATTCTAAAAATTTATGCTCCAGAAGTACACGAAGCGTTTCTTAAAGGAAAATTTAACATTCAATTAAAAAAATGAGGTGCTTAACGGCATTTGGACGGATATGGGCTTAGAACAAACATACATAGACTTTTCATATCACGTAAATAATCAGGTATATATGATTTGTAGTGTAGTATTTGTAGTGTCCAGCAAACACCATAAAAAGCCTAAAAAGGAGCATTTTCTCTACAGATAGTAAATGCTGGTTCTAATCTCCGCTACGTTCTGCAATTATATACCACTGTAGTATACATATCATATTTATGTACTGCAGCCAGAAAAGAGCAGTGGGGTTATTTTCAAAAGTTTCTTTGTTTTCTTAAAGGCTTATTTTTTTTTTTTTTTAAACTACAGATATTAGCATACGATAGCTCTACCATATCCAAACGTTTTTCCCTCAAATACCGTTTTCAGTCTCCTCTGTTACTAAGTTAACATCAGAACATTCAATGTTATTTATTGTTGTCATTACCCAATCTAAAAATTAATTAGAGTAGGAGCTGAATCAGGAACAAAGATGTGAACACTGGACAAAAATAACAACATGAATGATATTTGAATGGAATCGATTTAAACCACTATTGTTGTCAATTACCTTTATCAAAATTTAAAACCTTATTTTACATATTTTTCCTTTTCCAAAATTAAAATTCACCAAATGAACTTTGAAATAAACCCCCGATTATTATCGAATAGGTTATTATTAGTGCAAAACAAATCTCTGCCCTCTAAAACTACAATACGCTTGGGACCGCTTGTGCAGTAAGTAGTCCAGTACCTATACGTGGCCTGACTTGCCGCGGCCGCGTTAGTTTTTTTTCTATATTGGGGATCCGTTTTCTCGAAAACGTACGTAAGTTATCAAAAAAATCACAAGAATAAAAAAACTTCTTTGGTTCTTTGGCTACAATTTTGTCGCTTACTATATATATCTATCTTCAAAAACACAAAAGTTTTCTCGATCGAGTATTTCTGGCTGCAATTTTAACAATTTTCGTGTCACTAACTTGAGAAGAATATATTATGGTAACTCGTAATTTTTTTCCTGCATTTCTGTTATGTCAGTCGTAACAACAAAGGTCTAAATTGGCTCTCGAAAAAAATTCAATTCAATCGGACTAAAACTAAGGGAGATACAGCGAGTTGAATAGAAATTTAGAAAAATCTATAAAATTGGATATTTTTTGGAAAATGCCGGTTTTGACCAGCTTCGCAATTCCAGATCAACTGGCGAACTCCAAAATCGGATCCGCCAGGTCAATTTACATAAGAAAACATTTTTTCTAGGTGGTTGTTCGGGATGTCTTATAGAGGTTGCACGTTAGACGTTGCTCGTTCTCCGACTATTAATGTCTTTTCTGGGATCAATTAAATAACTGATGAATGGAAGTGGACTGTAAGAAATGTGTCGAGAGCCTTGCGTGCACATTTCCTTACGTAATTAGCCCTTTCTCTGAATACATTACATTTCTGGAATGTAGGCAAGGGGCAAACCACCTAGGAATTCTTTGCCAAAAATGTGGGAATTTAGAGGAATTTGTGGGGAATTTGAGAGAACTCATCGGAATTTATGAGAATTTGGGGAATTCGTAGAAAATGGGAAATGTGGAGGAATTTAAAGGAAATTGTAAAGTCATGACGCCACATTCTTATTATAAGAAATAGGTACTAAAAAATGGAAATTAAAAAAAAAAAAAATCTAGTTTTGTGTTGAACGTTGGAAATTCATTTTCATTAAAGAAATTCTCCCAAAATATCACTTCATGATTTACAGGTTCAAATTTGAAAAATTCAAAACAATAATGAGTAGAGTTTTTGTAGGCTGATTTCCAAGATTCTTCATATTGTTATTTTCCACTGGAAAAATTTGAAATTTTGGGAAAATGAGCCTCTGACCTTCCTCTTCACATATAAAAAGTTTCAAAATTTTCCCTCAATTAGTTTTCCAGGAAAACTTTAAAATGTGTGAGACTGTATAAACAATTATTTTAATTTTTGTAAGTTGATTTCCAAGATTTTTCATGTTGTTATTTTCCACTAGAAAAATTTAAAATTTTGGGAAAATGAGTTTCTCACCTTCCTCTTTACATGCAAAGAGTTTCAAATTTTTCCATTCGCTAGTTTTCCAGGAAAAACCTACAATAACTGAATTAATCAAGAATACTGTCTCACACAATTCCATGTTTTCCTGGAAAACTAGTGAAGGAAAAATTTTGAAACTTTTTGCATGTAAAGAGTAAGAGGAGAAGCTCATTTTCCCAAAATTTCAATTTTTTCCAGTGGAAAATAACAACATGAACAATCTTGGAAATCAACTTAAAAAACTGAAACAATTGTTAATACAGTCTCACATAATTCAAAGTTTTCTTGGAAAACTAATAAAGGGAAAATTTTGAAACTTTTTATATGTGAAAAGGAAGGTCAGAGACTCATTTTCACAATATTTCAAATTTTTCCAGTGAAAAAGAACAAACTGAAGAATCTTGGAAATCAACCTACAATAACTGAATTAATTGAAAATACAGTCTTACACATTTCAAAGTTTTTGTTGAAAACTAGTAAAGGGAAAATTTTGAAATTTTTAGCATGTGAAGAGGAAGGTGAGAAGCTCATTTTCCCAAAATTTTAAATTGTTCCAGCGGAAAATAACATGAAGAATCTTGAAGATCAACTTACAAAAGCTAAATTACTTAGTTAAAAATATCGTCTGACACATTTCAAAGTTTTCCTGGAAAAAATTGAAATTACGGGAAAATGAGCCTCTGAACTTCTTCTTTACATACGAAAAGTTTCAAAATTTTCCTTTCACTAGTTTTCCAGGAAAACTTTGAAATGTGAGAAAAAGAAAATTTTAAATTTTTTCAGTGGAAAATAACAACATGCAGAATATTGAAAATCAACTAATAATAACTGAATTAATTGAGAATACAGTATTACACATTTCACAGTTTTTCTGGAAAACTGTTGCAGGAATAACTTTGAAATTTTCTGGATGAAAAATAAAGGATGGGAGCCTATTTAAGTGAAATTTCAAACTGATTTAATGAAAAACATCAACATCAAATTTCTTAAAAATCAAATTCAAGAAACTAGATTTCACAAAAAACATTATTGCGCATTTTTTGATTTTTTTTCTAAAAAACTATTGCAGCAATAACTTTGAAATTTTCTGTATGAAAAGAGGAAGAATGGAGGCTTATTTAAGTGATATTTCATTCATTGATTCAGTGAAAGACATCAACACGAAAAATTCTTGAAAATCAAATTCCAGAAACTAGATTTTAGATAAGAATGGATATAGTTTTCCTATTCCAGGCTAGTGTATTCACTCTATTCTTAGTATTTTCTTTATTTGAAGTAATTTAGAATAAAACAAAAATTCAGCTGAAAAAATTGAGAAGGGAAATTAAATGAAAAGTTAGCCCAAAACAGAGAAAACTAGGGAAAAATTGAGAAAATAGGGCAACAAAGAAAAATAGTTATTGAATATTTATGACTCGATTTATGATATTCTTTCAGATAATCAACCCTGTTTTCTATAGTAGGTATAGTAAAATTACAAGTAAGTAAAACTTGGAAATTATTCCCATACTTAATTTTTGCAAATATAAAACAAAAAATCCTCTAATTTTAGAAACATAAAATTTATTCTAGAATTCTCGCAATTATTGGAAATCAGGGCAGTGATAGTGCGGGTACATTTATTGAAGAAGGGATTTACCTATTGAAAAAGTGGAACTTAAAAACAAACTAGCTAGAGTAGACTCCAGGGTAGACTCTGTTCAACTATAAGTAGGCTGGAAACAAGGTAGGTGAAAAATTGATACAAATAAACAAAAACAAAGGCCCTCGTATTATCATAACCTAAGTTTTCTATCGTTTTTCTATTTGTCCCCGTTTTCCGTTTTCTATTTTTGTGATTTAAAAAATGGATTTACAAAAGAGAAATAATCTTTCAGGTAAATAGTCTTGGAATACTATGGGGCAGAAATACTGAAGAAGTATGTAGGAACATATTAGCCAGATTATTATCTAAAAATTCAACTCCTCAGCTGAACTGGACAGGGCCTTCAAAAAGCACAATTTTCAGAATATACCTATAATATCAACATCAATAAAGCAATTTAGGTAAGTTGATGCAAGGTAAAACGGTTTTTAAATTTTAACTAAATTTTGTCCTTATTTAGTCGATGTAAGAAAAAATAAAGCCAGTCAGAATGCGTCTCAATCAGAAGCTGAAAAAGCCACCAAAATATGGTTAAGGATAAGGAATATTATTGTTTATTGTCCCACTCCTTAATATATTCCATATACTTTAATTTGTTTTGTCATTTTTCAAAAATATCATCCTGTCTATATAAAATAAATTATGTCCATTAAATTTAGAGTGGCACAAGTAAAGATACCTAAACGGTATATTGGCTGCACAGTTATTGCGAAACAAATATGTACGACGTCTTCAAGAGCGCTGCGTTATTGCTGTGTAAAAATTCCATAATGAAGAGGCAGAGCTACTGCACAGTGACTGTACTCAAATGCAGCATGAACAGTGCAGATTTCAACCAACAAATTCATGTACTGAAAAAATTTCTATAAGAAAAACTGTATTATAGACAATATGCTGGCCCATGCCATATATTGTATCCCCTTGTAGCAACTTAAATATTATCTATGCACAAACATCTACAATCAATTCTACTTACTCGTTTTCGAACCAACAGTCGCAGGTGTTGCCTTAGGCCTCTTTGCAGTATTCTCCGTAGTAGGCGTGGCAAATATCTTCTTTTTGGAAGCGGACGCAATCGTTTTTGGGGTAACTGTAGTACACTTACTGGTGGATGGTGGAAATAGGCTCATACAAGATTTACCTGGAGTGCGAAGAGTTGTTTCACAACGTTGCAATTTCCGAGCGCTCAGCTTAGTTTTACGGTCCTAAAAAAAATCGATTAGAAAATATTATTACAAAATAGAATCTATGTACGTTTTCACGGGACTCGTGCAAATTTTGGATATATTCCTCGACAGTGCTACCAAAAGTCTTGAAAACTACACCGTTCTTAACCAAAAACGCACCAGACAGATTCAACATTTGTTCTTCCAGTTGAGGTATTACTTTAGAGAGTTTATTGCGTTCTTTTTCTTCTTGCAGCAATTGACCACCTCTATTTTTAAATCTATTTACTCCGGTTGCATTTTCTTCAAATTGTATCATCTAAAAAAAAATATTTTTGAAAAAAAAAAAACACACACAAACAAAATAGGCAATTGTATCACCTTATCCCACAATTCCTGGTGCTTCTTTATTATATCCAAAAGTTTGCCGTTATCTTCGTAATATTTCTTCCATTTCTGAATTTCCAATTCATGCAGGTCAAGCAAATCCTCTGTATAAAAATCATCATAAAAATACCTAAAAGTCTTCTTGTCCGCATCTGAGCAATGACATGTTGTCCAAATAGTCTGGAGTTGGTCTCTTAATTTGTCCACAAATTTTTTTATGTTGGCTTTTCTAAGCTCCTCGCATCTTTTTACTTCAATTTTTAACGCTTCCAAAGTATCCAATGAGTTGCCTGTATAATGACTTCTAAATTCATCTCTATCTATTAACTCGATATCCAACATTTTCCATAGATCTTCAATTCTTGTTCTTAAATGGGACACTTCTTCTTCAGTGGATAGTTTGAGCTCTTTCATACACTTGGCGAAAAACTCCAGCATTTTTAGATTCTGGTTACTCAACATCATATCATCTGAAGACAATACCTATTGAAAAAATATTTATCAAAGTTTATTAAAAAAAAAAAAATTTACAAAAACCAAACCTCTCTTTCAAAGTCGCTATTGGGTTTGTATTTGATTTCATCAACGATTTCTGTGATTTCGTGTTTCAAATTTACGAATTTTTCCTCGCGTTCAAACTTTTCTGCTTCCAATTTATCAAACTGTGCTTGGGTAGGCAATGGGGGGTACTTCAAATCAATTTGTATTTTCCGGTCTAACTCTTTGCATAATTGTATTTGTTTTTTGTTAAGATTTTCCAGAGCTAGTTTCTTAGCATTAACGACAGCTTCATATCTAAATTAATTTAATAAAAAAAATATAATAAGTAAATTAATTTTTTTAACAACTCACTTATTCACGTATTTCAATAATTCTTGCTGAGCTTCGTAAAGGCTTAAACCTTCTTCCTTAATTTCAGGCAATGGTTGGTGGAGTTCGATGCACGCCCTTTCTAGTCGAGTGAAAAACTCTTGCATTTTGTTGATGGTTGACGCGAATGAGTTTGCGACATTTCGGCCACCATATCGCAAAAAAACTCATCGACCGACCTGAGATACTCGTTATTCCACATAACGACATCTTCGCCTTTGTTACCGGCTACTTTTTTTACAATTTTACACCAGTTCAGAAAGCCTTTTTTGCTATGCTGCTCAACTTTCTCCCATAAGTTCTGCGCCCATGGCATATCCTCAATGCTAGCCTAGAACAAGGAGATTGTATAGAGGATTTTAAAAAACTTTTTTCTACAACTGTCAAAAAATGATGATGTTCGCACACTCATGACAGTTTGCGAAGTGACACTTTTTTTCCCAGGTATTGATTTTTTAACGTTCCCATGACACCGTGCGCGAACTAGCTATTTCGCGCACGTGTGCGCGAAATAGCTAGTTCGCACACTGGGTGTCATGGTGACACATACCTGTCAGGAAACCAAAAATAATTAAAATTCACCTACTTTTATTTGAAAATGCAATTTTAGCTTCGAATGATCGATATTTAAATGGAGTTGTAGAAAAAATATTGTTTGCAACTCGGGCGCGAAATACTTTGGTGATCTCGACTATTTTTTTAACTCGTCTACGCCTCGTTAAAAAAATCAGATCTCGATCACCAAAGTAGCATTTCGCGCACTTGATACAAAAATAACTATTAAGAATTTTTAATAGGTATTAATTATAAAGTCAGACTACCAGAACCAGAACTGAAAATAACTCATTCAACTAAGGGATTAAAATGTGATACTAATAATATGCAATATTTTCTAGTTCATAAACTTTGTACATACGAAATCTTATCAAATTGCATTGCAGATTTCTATCTATATTTTATACCAAGATATTTTGTACCAATAACTATTGGTTTCAGCTATAGTAGAAAAATTACTTTTAATTACTTTTCAATGCTAACTCTGGCGGTTTATTTGACTATGCACCTTTTTTTGACTATCTGAGCTGATTTAAATTATTTTTTTTGCACCTGAAAATGAAACTTTCTAGTTTCGAAACTGGTAGGGCTTTTTGATTCCAATAAAGATATACTTGTGGAAGAAATTAAATTTCAATTCCACTTTGAGTCATGGGCTACTTTTTCAATATAATAGTAGGTATTGTTGAATTGTAAGGTGTTGGTGATCAAATCTGGTAATTTGCTTGTTTCACATTTAACAACAAAGAATAAAAACCTAATTAAAACTTTCTAATGCCAATTTCTGATGTATCTAAAATACCAACCTCGGAATTTTTTGCTCCAACCTTTCACTCATGGATTATGCGTGTTTATGTGATTTGTGAATATGAGGTAGAATAAATGTGATGTAACATTTTAATTTTGCTCTTCCCATTAAATGAGTAATTCAGTGTTTTAACTGGTAACACACAAATATTAGTTTAGAGCTGACTTAATTGATTGGATATTAATTACCTTACTCTGCGTCTTTTTAGATAATTTCAGGCACAGCCAGATAAGATTTTGCTCCTTATCATTTGTCTAATGATTTAGTTGACCATTGCAGATGAATATTTATTGAACAATGCCTGGTTATCTTATTCTTGTTGTCCTTAAAAGGAATATACATAAATTATCAATTTCATTAGTCGATAGCCAACATTGTTTTGATTTTCAAATAAAAAGGGGTTATGTCCAGTTAATTGTCATTCAATTTTATTTTCGCGCCAGTTCATTTCGAAGGATTAATTCCTTTAGTTTTCACTCCCTCTCTGTCTCTCTCTTACTGGAGGATTTCATTTCTTTTATTTACCTGTTATCGAGTACCTATATCGATCAATTTGCTGGTACTTTGGTTTTGATCGCGTAGGGTTGGGTTTTTCTATAAATGTCGATATAATTGGTGTCGTGTTAGAGAAGGCATGGACAATATTATTTAATAAGTGAAGTTATTTATAGATTTTAACGAGAATAGTGTTTTCCTGATTTGTGTGGATTGAGTCGGTTCCATTTGTTGAGTCTCTTTGGAGGTTTCGCTGACGACTATCGATATCTTTGTCGTTATCTTTCAATCATTCCTAAAGTGTGGAATGTGGAATTCGATAGAAAAAAATGTAACATAAAAAAAGTTAGTGCGTAGAAATTTCTGGTTTAGGGTCCCAAAAATCGTACAACAGTCTTTTCCATTTCGTCCAGCGACAAGAACACTTTGGCTTTGGCCTGAAGAATAGTTTTTTTATCCGGTTGACCATAAAGAAAATTAAGTGATTTTCTCTATTTAATTAGGATCCGGTCATCCAGATAATTTCAATTTTGGTTTTGCCAGTCTAGTTTTGGTTTTTGTTACCTTTTGGCAGCCAAATCACCTTTCTAAGGGATTTATCTATTTCTTCTAGTCGGTAAGTCCACCATTTTGTGAATTTGTTTTATTGTAAATTAATTAGTTCTATTCTCACAATAGAATATCACATCACGTCGCTTGGATTGAATTGTTTGAGCCTAGACTCTTAGAGCCTTGATTTTATTGTTGCTCGTTATTGTGAACTTCCAAATTGGATCAGCCAGCGTAGGTGAAATTAGAGTTCCATGACCTTCCGTTCACCTTCAACCTTTGAGCTGTGACCCTCAAAAATCCGCGAGGTAATTATAATGGCAATTTTCCATTTTAATGTTTTATTGGGGGACCATTCTATGCCGCATTGATTGGTAGACTTATAGTTTTTTTATTTAAATATATTTTTTTTTTGGCAATGCAACTTATTTTATGAATTGAACTCATTATATTTAGTAAATGGGTTAAAACTTGGGAATTGAAATGTACAATTTCATATCCCAAGTGGCATAATTTCAATGGGGATTTAAGGGTAATTTATTTACTCATTGGTGCTTTCTTTAGGGTCTTATGGTACGGTTTTATGCTACCGTTTTCGATAACGCAACTCAGTGGATGTTTTGATGGTATGCAGTACCCACCACTGTATCTGAATAGCAAAGACTCGGCGAACTAGTTTTCATTGATGAGATAGATCATCTGGTACGAGTGTGAAATCCCAGACCCATTGTTAATTGTCGGCATAAAGCTAAGTAGTTTAGTGTAACTTTTTTATTAATTATTTAAAAATATCGTATATGGCTTAGGTAACTTTAGTTACTCACATTTAAGTAAACATTTGACCCCATTTATTTGCGGAGTGATCACTGACGCTGGGTGTGTGTTAATTCGCACTTATTGGTTATTTTAGTTTTAAGTATAGCTCTCTGCTTACATAGGTATTCATACATATCAATACCGACAGACAGTTTTCTTAAATCTGACTATGAGGAAGCCTTTAGGTTCTTTATTCCTGCTAGTCGTCATACTAGCCTCTGAATACTTGTCATAATCATTATTTAATCACCATAACTTGTACTAAATCAATACTTAATATTCAATAAATACTGATTTTGTTGTATTGCCAATTACCTGCTTTCTTTGTCTTTTTGCTTATCCAATTATTTTCTTACATTTCAGGCATAATAATTTGGTTTGTACTTTAGTTCAACCTGCAGTCATCGCAGGACTTTTCCGATTTAGTTTCAAAAATTGGTGGCGCACGAATCCACGAACCGGGCATGTGGACACTTCAACAAACTCTGTTGAACTAAGATTGCAATCCAAATAAGGTTACATTTTGGTAATCGATTTTTCTTACGTAAAATAAAAGTGTTACAGTGAGGAGAAGTGCATTGCAAAAATCACATTTTTCTACTGACGTTTCATAATAGCAACTTTTCGATTGTCATTTCAGTTTTGAAACGACATTCTTTTAGGCACTGAGTGCGTGAAAGTTACTTTTAGGCACTCAGTGCGTAAAAGTGACTTTTGAATGCGTAAAAGTGACTTATGAGTGCGTAAAAGTAATTTTTAAGCACTAGTGCCTAAAAGTGTCATTCATTATTCAGAAATAAAAAACACAATAAACACATATTTGAATTTTGTTTTGTATTTAATATGAATATTGAAAATGGAATTACTGAATTGAACGTTTGGGTTACTTAAAACAGAACTTTGTGTTATTACCTACTTTCTAGGATTTTAATTATTGATGTCGAATTTTCAAAAGAAAATCGCATGAAAAGTGTCAGGTGGCAAGTAAAAGCAGGTAACAAAGATTTTGGGTGTAATCGACTTATTCACATGAAATAAAATTGTATTTTTTTATTATAAAATGCCAGTAGAAAAAATCTTGTATACAATACGTTACGAAACGATGTCTTTTAGTCACTCGACGTGTTGTCCAACTCGGCTTTGCCTCGTTGGACAATTTTCACGTCGCGTGCCTAAAAGACGCTCATTTCGTAACTTATTGTATAAATAGCTATTTTGATTGTCAATATGCTTGAAAACTTTTAACTTTTTTTCTATTATACAGTGCCCGCGGAAAAGTCTGCACCATATGGGAAATTTTTTTATGCTCATCCTTACTTCAAATCGGTTTTTGGCATTACTTACCTCACATCTGTCAAATGCCATTTGAAAATTTCAAACAAGGAAAAGTGGCATTTTTATGAAAAATATGAAAAAATTTTATAGAAAATATTGTTCCAAATGACATTTAGAGTCTAATTTGATATTTTTGCTTTGAAAAAAATATATTTATTTTTTTTAAATTTTTTTTCGAATATCTACGGAAAAATAATATTTTTAGGGTTTCTTTCGCGACCATTCCTCTAAAATAATTAGTTTGTATCTGACTAATGGTTTTTCAAATCCTAATAATCTAATTAAGAGTTTAAACATCAAAAAGAAATATTTCTATTAAAATCTTGATACGCCTCTGGACTATTTTAAAAATTGCATACTTTGAAATATATTTTTTTCAAAGCAAAAATATCAAATTAGACTCTAAATATCATTTGGAACAATATTTTCTTATAAAATTTTTTCATATTTTTTATAAAAATGCCACTTTTCCTTGTTTGAAATTTTCAAATGGCATTTGACAGATGTGAGGAAAGTAATGCCAAAAACCGATTTGAAGTAAGGATGAGCATAAAAAAATTTCCCATATGGTGCAGACTTTTCCGCGGACACTGTAGATGGAATGTCTGCTCATTTGGACCTTATAGTTTCAGAAATGAAATTGCGTTGAGCAAAGTGGGGTGCACGCCTTTTATTAAGGTTTAAAGTCAGGCCTATAGTTTATTACAGCAACGCGAGATGTCAGTACTGTCGCCCCTATAGTGTGCCCTAACTTGTGTGATGGAAAGTTTTCTCTTTTTTTTGCGGAAATTCGAAGTATTATTCTGTTTTACATAAACAGGGTTGTAGTTTGGACCAACACAAATAATTTTGAACGATCATCCGTCGGATTTTTTTTTGAACAGTGTAGCTACAGGCGTATTTCCAACTATTCTTGCAGTAGCGTGAAAACTACAAGTTCAAAAAATTTGAAAAAAATATATGTCGCGTAAAATCGCAATAGTAGTTCGTAATCAAAATAACGGGAAACTTCCTCTATTCGTTTTGAAATAAACCACTTTTTTTTCAGTTTTTGCGATATATCTCAAAAATGGCGAGTCAAATTTGCTTGAAAAAATTATGGATTAAAGTATGTATATCAATAACCATAAAACATATATTTTTTTTGGAATTTTTGAACACAAGGTTCAGAAAATGGGGGTTGACTTTAAACCTTAAAAACTAATATTTGAAGTGAATTTGATACAGACATAATTGATATAAAGATTGTAAACATCGTTGAATGTGGTCGTGCCAAAAAAGCCAGAATTTGATATATTTTACCCAGTTAAAAGTCGGAAAAGTGCTATAATTTAACTATTCTCTCAAATAGGTATCGTTATCGTATGTTAACATAATACAGATTAATTGTGGTAAACCAACTAAAAACAATTAAAAACCTAAAAATATTTATAATTTCAAGGCTACATCTACTGAATCGCACCTACACTGTTGCCGCGTCGCGTCGGTTAGAAATAATTTTCTCCAAACATTATTTTTACGGCTTTTATGTGTGAACAATAACAGCATCAATAGTGCCGGAATTTCTTTTTTACAATCGGTATTGGTATTCATCTGTTTATATTGCCGATAAGAACCTTGGGCTTCCTTATTTGAATATTTTATACAGGGTGTCCCACAGTGGATGGCGTATTAGACGTTTATGGAGAACTAAAAAACAGATAATTTTGAAAATTTGGCAACCGGGATCAACAACCATAACTTACACTTTAAAAATATTTTCGTTTATGCGGTGTTGCCGCTTCTACTCTAAACCAGTGGCAACGTCGCTATTTTAAATAGAACACCCTGTATGTGATTGCATATTTAGATTCTACTTAAAATTCTGAGCAGATTTCATGTAATATACCTTATACCTAAGTTCATCTGTTTTGGAAATATTAACAGTTGAAAATTGACTTTTCGCAACTTTGACAGGCTGTGAAGCCTGAACGGTTAATTTTAGGGGAAAACCGATTTTACATTCCTATCTTAGATTTTTGTTTTTGTCGCTGAAAAACCATCATCCGCGTGTTGCTAAATTCATCAAAATGGTGCACTGCCACGGATTTGGTAATTAAAATTCACTAATCCCCATGCCAAACTACAGCTTGTCAAACCCTGTTTAATTTAACAACACTGCTTTTTCTACCATTCCACCACGGTACCTACACCAGCTGAATTTAGCCACACGCGGCATGTTGATTTTGTCCAGGTAAGAACAGGTAGGAGTTTTGTCAGTAGGAAACCGGCCGTACCTATGACATTTTGCCAGTGTAAAACAAATAACACTCTAGTGAAATAGTGAAAAAAAAAAAGAAAACGCCTATTTTTGAAAATAAAATGATTTGAAAATCGAATTTTCAAACTGCTGCGAAAACGCAGGATAAGAAAGGGACGTCACTTTCCCAAACATGCGAGGATGCCGAATTTCTCATTAGTAAACTATTCTAGAACATGGCTAACATAAAACTAGCCACATCCTATGACCTATTTTTAAACTCTTGCTACCTAGTAAAATGAGAGGCACGTGAAAATGGACTATTGTGCGCAGTGTTTTTTTTTTTGTCAACACTTTTTGTTAACAGAGCTCCCCCAAACCAAAATTCTGTGAATAAATTACCACAGTGGCGACAAATTGTCGTCTCATTTTTGATTAGTTCTTAAAATCCTATATATTCATAAGGAAAACGCCGCCATTTTGTGCCCTCACTCTTGTCTAAGTTGAATCATATTCTTACAATAAATGGTTGAATGCCACTGAAAAGATAAAATCGTGCCTCCTAAAAAATTGAGACACGACAATATGTCAGATAGGGGAAGATATGCATTTATTAAAAGATTCAGACAAACTCCAATTAGCCAGAGAATTGGAAAATAAAAATTAAACTAAATATAAAATACATAAGCTTGTTTAATAATTAAATCTATTGCTAAGGGCAGCTAGATCAATGCATTGTTAAGTCCTTGTTAGCTAACAATGACCTTAGAATGTGTTACACAAAAACAATGTCATTGATCTAGGCGCATTAAAGAAACAAAAACCCAATAAACCATTTAAATAATGTCATCTTAAAATTACGATACATAAACTAATAAAGCAAGATTCTCTTTTCGACAGCCTTCCTACAAATCGGACACTCGGCCATCTGATCTCCGCACATCTGACACAACCCGTGTCCGCATAAGAAAATCATATTTTTCAACCGATCCAAACAAACCGGGCACATTGTTTGCTCTTTGATATCTTGCAACTGCTGTTGCAACTTCTGAATATCGTTGACATTTGTAGTGTCGCGACCTCCATTATTCATAATTAAAATTTCTTGTTGTTCAGTACTAGTGGTTGGTTGTTGAGGCTTTAAATCCTCTTCAACATCGGCCTTGACTTCAGAAATTGTCCCTAAACCACCACTGCACACGATCATTGGCACCATAAGTTCGATTTGGCTGCGACAAGTGACGCACTTTTTCATTATTTGGGCGCAGCTGTCGCATGCGCACATGTGCCCGCAAGGCCTAAACAAAACTGACGACTTTTTGTCTGAACAAACCAGGCATTCTTCAATTAAAACCCGGCCTGTAACTGATTCGCGACATATAAGACATTTTTTGACGCGAGGCCCGCAAGTTGAACAACAAGCCACGTGACCACAAGGCTGTAATAGTAAATCACGTTTGGAGTCGGAACAAACCAGACATTCGTCCAGGGTTGAAGTGGTGTTTTGGGTGTTTTGATTAGGCCCCATGTCCATTTCACCACTGCGTTTTTCCTTATGGCATTTGGTCAAGGTTTTGCATAAATTAGGATCAGGACATAAGTCCAAAGGAGTTTGGCCTTTTTTATTTTTAATTGTAAGATCAGCTCCGTTGCCTGCTAGAAAACATGCAATACTAGCGGAGAATTTTTTGTCAGAGCCTTGTATGCCTAAGCCCATTAGTAACTTGCCTACGTCTTGTACATCTTGCAATTGTCTTAGTTGACTTAAGGTGTGGTGTCGCAAAGCCTCATGCAAAGGAGTGTCTCCGTCTTTGTTGGCTATATTCAAGTTGGCCCCCTCTCTTACTAACAACCGCACAATTTGTCTGTGTTGTCTTTCTACAGCCAAATGCAAGGCAGTTTGTAAATTGACATTTTGTAAATCCATGTCTGCTTTACCATGTAAGACCAACTGTTCAGCTACTTCAACATGATTGTTCAATGCGGCCAAATGTAAAGCAGTATAGCCGTCATCTTTTTTTTCGTCTACAATCCAAGGTCTAGGTAGTTTGGCCAATAGAATCTTCATCGCACTAGGATTGCCTCGCAATGCAGCATGATGTAAAGCATTAAAGCCATTATTATTAGTCAAAGTAATGTCAGCAATATGATCCAATAACAGTGTTAGCATGTCGTCTCGTTTTTTTGAAATTGCATCATGCAAAGGCGTATCGCCTTCTAAGTCTTGCAAACTGGGATGACATCCTAAGTCTAGTAACATTTTGACTACTCCAACGTGTCCTTTGTTGACACCGATATGCAAGGCTGTTTGTCTGCGTTTGTTGCGGGCATTTAAATCAGCTCCGGCGTGAGCAAGGAGTTGCACCACAGCAGGTTCGTCTCCAAAGGCCGCATGGTGTAGAGCCCTGTCACCGTCTTTATCTTCTATTTCAACATCTGCGTGACATCTCAACAAAACTGTAATGACTTCAAGATGGCCATTTTGTGAAGCTGCTTGCAAAGCAGTATGACCTGCAAACACTCCGTTAACATCTGGACCAATCCCTGCTCCAGCTGTATTGCTTTGTTTTAAGACTTCTTCACATTTTTGAGCATCTCCACTGGCAGCTGACTTAACTAGTTCCTCATTGACATCTCCTGACACATGAGTTTCAAAAAGCTTTTTCAATAAAGCACTTAAGCGTTCACATGACGTAGTCCCATGCATGGTGCCATCTTTGCTGGCCAATTTCGTAACAGCCAAAGGATTATAAGTCCAAGTAGTATTACAAACTTCAACTGTCAAATCGTTGTCATTGTAGATTTGTTGCACATGTCCCACTTTGCCTAGGGTGGCAGCCATGCCATCAGCCCAATCACCATGTCCACGCTGCAACATTTTGACTCGCTCAGCATCTGAACAAATCTGGACTACGTCACCAACAGCAAATTGTTGCTGAGGAGTTTCATTGAATCCAGCTGAATTAGGTGGAGTGGCTACTTTTGTCAATACTGCCGGATTAAAAGTCCACCTGTTACCGCTGTTATAAGCAACTACAATATCGTGATCTTCATCAATTCCTACAACTGTACCTGTAGTACTCAAACATTCATACATCCCATCAGTCCAACCTCCGTGACCATGCTGCAAGGATTGAACAATTTCAAGTTCCAAATCGACATTAACTTGGTCGCCTATTTTTAAGCCTGCAGGACGAGGACTTGCCCCTTGTTCACCTAAACAAGGCAAATGATCTCTGTAAACGTTTAAGCCCTTAGCATCGTTGACTACTTTAAGATCAGCCATGCCTTCAAACCCTACTCGATAGAAATTTTTAGACCCATTATCCCACACAATATAGGCAGCAGATCTTGGACTTGCGGCAGACCAGTCTTGGATTTCTTGCACTTTTCCACGTCGCCCGTTACCGCCATCTTGATCCTCCCACTGCCAGTCCACCCCTCTCACAACTCTTGCACTAGGAAAAATACCTCTAATAGCAATTTTTTTAGTCTTCCTTCTAGGTTCCAAATAAAACCTTTCCCCTCCTGGCGTAGTAATACGATAAAACCTGTGCCTCAAATGATGTTTGTCTCCGTGATAACAAACCGAACACAAATCGTAGTTGCCACATTCAGCACACTTCCATCTAATACCAAAAATAGGTTGTTGACGACAAGTATCGCACATAGTGCCTTCATGCTTGATTCCAGTAGGGGCACTATCCAAAATCCTCAAATCATATTGGCCAGAGCAGCGATAATTTGCAGTTGTCCCATTATCCCATACAACAACAACTTCGTCAGGTGATTCAAAGTTTCGTACTGTGCCTACATGACCCTCTCCTCCATCTTGTTTGCCCCATTTCCAATCAAGACCACGTATTACTCTTGCGCCGACGCCTTCAGTAATACGCCCATTGCGTGGTACTGCACCAGTAGCGGTACTGTTGGGGTTAACTGCGTTGGCAATTTCCATCATTAGTACTGAAACAAATATTTTTGAGGTTTAAGTGACGTCGTTTTTATATGTAGAGCGACGTCAAATTTACGATTTTGAGCCAGTACCTGAAAACCGGGTGCTGAAAGGAAAAAGTTATAAAATAATCTGGCTAAAAAGGAGTTTGTCTATTAGTCAATTTATTATAGGAAATTACAACATTGAGGCTCGATGGACAACCGCAGGTACTGTCAATGTAAATTTAACGTAGCTCGTTTCAAATAGGTAATTATCTAGTTTCTTGTTAATGAATGCCACCACCCAAAACTGACAAAAACAACCATCTATAGGGTTAATAAACTATATATTTTTTCAAAAATAGAAGAAAAACATCTCAACTGAATAATTACCCATTAAATTTCAGTTTGTGACAAAGAAAGAAATTAGCAATTAACTATTTAAAATCACCTATGCAAAGTTGGCACCCGAAAATCAAGCACACCTGATTTTCTCAGGAGTTCTGAGTACTTTTAGGATAGTTCTATAGTTCTGAGAGGGGTGCAACAATAGTTCTCATGCCTAAGTATTTTTTTTTTTTAAAAACAAAAAAAGGGGTGCTAACTTCGCGCCGCACCCCTTTTTGATAGTGCAACAGTTCTCGAGTGATTTTTCGGTTCTAAGGGTATAGTTCTAGAGTTCCTGATAGAAATTATGAATAGTTCTGCAAAAATAAAGCTAATATAACGGAAAAAGTTTTCAGGCGCCCCAGCCGTATTGCGGGACATAGCATCCCGATACATCAGACATTACGCGATACATTTGAAGGCTCGTTGAGATGTATGGAGGCTGCTGGGGTCAGAACTATGGGTTAGCACTCCATAGTTCTGGTGTCTACTATTACTCTACTATGGATAAATTTCAAAATTAACTGGGGTGCTGTGAAATACACCGGGTTTCCACGCGCATCCATGCTAAATTAGCATACTGGAGGCTGCTGGGGCCAGAACTATGTGTTATTTCTGCAGCACTCCATAGTTCTGGTGTCTACTATTAATCTACTATGGATTCTGGCCCCAGCATGCTCCAGTATGCCGATTTAGCGCCGATGCGCGTGAAAACGCGGTGTATTTAACAGCACCCCAGTTAATTTTAAAATGTATCCATAGTAGATTAATAGTAGACACCAGAACTATGGAGTGCTGCTGAAATAGCCTATAGTTCTGGCCCTAGCATGCTCCAGTATGCCGATTTAGCGCCGATGCGCGTGAAAACGCGGTGTATTTAACAGCACCCCAGTTAATTTTGAAATTTATCCATAGTAGAATAATAGTAGACACCAGAACTATGGAGTGCTGCAAAAATAACCCATAGTTCTGGCCCCAGCAGCCTCCAGTATGCTAATTTAGTGTGGATGCGCGTGGAAACCCGGTGTATTTCACAGCACCCCAGTTAATTTTGAAATTTATCCATAGTTGAGTAATAGTAGACACCAGAACTATGGAGTGCTAACCCATAGTTCTGACCCCAGCAGCCTCCATACATCTCAACGAGCCTTCAAATGTATCGCGTAATGTCTGATGTACCGGGATGCTATGTCCCGCAATACGGCTGGGGCGCGCCGCGCGACCTGCGCGCCTGAAAACTTTTTCCGTTATATTAGCCTTATTTCTGCAGAACTATTCATAATTTCTATCAGGAACTCTAGAACTATACCCTTAGAACCGAAAAATCACTCGAGAACTGTTGCACTATCAAAAAGGGGTGCGGCGCGAAGTTAGCACCCCTTTTTTTGTTTTAAAAAAAAAAAATACTTAGGCATGAGAACTATTGTTGCACCCCTCTCAGAACTATAGAACTATCCTAAAAGTACTCAGAACTCCTGAGAAAATCAGGTGTGCTTGATTTTCGGGTGCCAACTTTGCACCGGTTTTAAAATCTCAACGAAATGACCTACATTATATTTACATTTACTTTATTATTTGGTTTTTTGACAGTTGGGTTAGTAGAGCCTCAAAAATTCATTTATTTTCTAATTTATTGGTGATAAGATTAATGCTCAAAAAGCAAAAATTGTAAACTAATAGGATTGCTCATCTTCATAAGGCGTACGTTCGCCAGGGTCTGCGAGCGACGTCATCATTATCAGCAGTTAATAGTGGTGACGTCACCCGCAGACCTCGATACGACTGCGATTCAGGCTATGCTTGTGAGTTAATTTTTTCGATTTTAAATGCAAAAAGTAGGTGTTCTTGCTCAAAAAGACAGTTGACAGATGAACAATGCTTTAAACGTCAGCTGTCGAAAACAGAGTGCAATCGAATTGAAATCGCTATTAATGTATAGACTTTCCAATGCTGATGCAATATTACGTCATATCGTGTCATCTTTCTTTATTCCGTGAACGTTCATAGCATGAAGCAAGACAACTAACCAAATTTGATTATACCGACGACATTTGAGGGGGCAGAAAGCAGAAAAATGACGGACTATAAGAATACATATAAATACATACATGAAGTTACATAAGGAATACATAGGAGACATGTCACACTTGTCAAATTTATTTTTTATTTAAGTAGCCATAATGGATTTCAATTATCTGCAGCCAATCGCTTTATTGATGTATTGTCAAGATGAGGAGTTGACGCACCTGTCAATTTTTTGTCCGCATAAACTTTACTAGTATGAGTTTTATTGCAAAATAATTTTTAAAAACAAAACATCTACGCCCATGATATAAAAGGTCCGCCCACTTAATACTAGTGGGCGGAGCCTAACAACCATAGACGTACCGTTAAAATTTATCTTTCAAGAAAAATATTGGTGGGATTGGAATTTTGCAAGTGGTATGATGATATGAAATAACGTTACGCCATTATTTTAAGCCCGTATTACATCAGTAAAGGTGCAGCAAGAGTTCAACAACAAACCCCATGTAAATCTCCATAAGAAAACGCTAAGGTCCAAATTGCGGCTTTTACGACCATTTCCAGGTAGCCCCGCCCTCTCTCCAGTGCCAGAAGTGTCTGAGGTGTCTTGTAGTTGTCTTCGAGGTGTTGTTGAGATGTCTTGGAAATGTTGTTGAGGTGTCTTATAGTTAGTTGTCTTCGAGGTGTTGTTGAGATGTCTTGGAGTTGTTGTTGAGATGTCTTGGAGTTGTTTTGAGTTGTTGTTTAGCTGTCTCGGAGGTGTTGTTTAGCTGTCTCAAAGACACCTCCGAGACAGCAGAACACCTAAAGCACCTCAGAGACAGCTAAACAACACCTCAAACACCTCCGAGACAGCTAAACAACACTTCAAAACAACTCCAAGACATCTCAACAACACCTCGAAAACAACTACAAGACACCTCAAACACCTCTGGCGCTGGAAAGGGGGCGGGGCTACCTGGAAATGGTCGTAAAAGCCGCAATTTGGACCATAGCGTTTTCTTATGGAGATTTACATAGTGTTTGCTGTTGAACTCTTGCACCTTTACTTACATCTATATATTTTTCCGTGTATTTCTTCATGTAGTTCAGGGTGACAACCGAAAAACTTCAAACGCAACATAAATCAGCATTATGAAAAACAAAATAATTTTGGCACCCTGAACTACATGGAGAAATACACAGAAAATACATAGATGTAATACGGGCTTTAGACGAATTATAAGTAAATTCTTAGCTTTAAGCTACGTTTACACTTAGACGCTGAAATAACACAAATTAATGAAACAGGCCACTTTCACTGTATACTTTTTTTTAAAAATAAAAGTGGCGTTTGAAATCAATCAAATCAGAAGTGTGACGTCAGTGTCCCTAAAATGCGAGGATGCCGAATTTTTCATTGTACCTACATCGCAACCGAAAGTAAATATGAAACAATTTCCGATGCACGTCATCAATCACCTGATAAATGACATTCAAGGCATAAACATAACCAATTACATATAAGGAAACTTGAGCTGTAAAATTAAATTTATTATCGCCATGTTGATTATGTATATTGCGTCATATTCAGCGCGGTTGCCAACGCTTGCGAGGTCTCGATTTTTCAGTATTTTAATGTGGTTATGTTATGAAAAACTCGAGTTTAGAATTTGTTTGATTGTTTAAAACTTTTCTCTATTTCAACTCAAGTTACTAGTAAACCAAGAAAATTGCAACAAAATTATATATATATATATATATATATATATATATATATATATATATATATATATATATATATATATATATATATATATATATATATATATCCATGGTGTCACCCTGTTTCTAACAACCCCCTTAACCATCCTCGTTAGTATGAATCTAATCCCATGTACAATTTTGGAATAACTGTCATCTGATTTACAATTTTGTATATTTTCATATAAATGTGCATGTGAAATCGATCGTGATTGGGTACGCCACTGGTGTCACCCTGTTTCTGACAACCCCCTTTACTTTCCCCATGAATTTAGTCCCATGTACAAGGTCTTTCCCCATATATTGATATATATCATATCAAGAAATTGCAATGTTGCCGCATCAACTTAATTTTACTTTAACATACCATGTCTAATAAAGTTTGTCATCTTCCCACATATCATTTGGCAACATTACCTACGAGTGCCAACCTAAATCCCATTTTATCGGCCAATTTGGTTAAATGATCCAACAGCGTTTTATCTCTCTTCAACTAGGGTTTGTTTAATGAAAAGGAAAATGCAATTGGCAATATGTAATTTCGACGTCATTGATGAAGTGTATCCAATATTTTATTAATTTCACTATGGTTTTAAATTTGCATAGATTAAAATACCGACGTATATTCATTCTGGCATCCATCCGTTGAATGGAAATTATGAATTTATAATGTGGCAACAAAGCGCAGGAATGTCGGCTTTAGCCAATGAGAGAGCGTTTTCAGTCACATGATTTTTGAAGAAAATGCAGTCGAATTCAGCCAAGCAAGAGAGAGCAACAGTCAGCAGTATGAGAGAAAGAGACAACGCGATTGGGAGTTTGTATGTGTAATTTTTCTGTCTGGCAAAGTAAGACAATGAAACCGAT